ACGCTGGGCAGTGGTGGGTATAATTGCATCTACCCAGGTGACTGCCTGTACTTTAAGGTTTTCAGTGGGTCCTGTTATAACCCATGGTTACAATAAAGCCATTTTTGCCATCGTACATGGAAAAACTTCCACATCAAGTATATTTGTTCTATCGCTCACCGTTATTTGCTTACTGTAGGAACTTCTGCAGGGAAAACAGACAGTGGCCCCTCTGGCCAGTTGCACATGTAAGTATATAGATTAAGGTCTTCTTTCTTGAAACACTTCATTTTAACACTAGAGACACAACATCCGTCAATGTTTGTTTTTTGGCTAACAGAGAAGCAGTTTTAGAGTTGCGCATTCTATAACAGATTTACACATATATAGAGGAAAAATAAGCCCTGCATTGGCCGGGAATCGAACCCGGGCCTCCCGCGTGGTAGGCGAGAATTCTACCACTGAACCACCAATGCTTGCTGCTACAACTTGGGACTGCCCCACCGGCCAGTAGCACATTTAGCATTGTTGTCAGCCCTGTGTGTGAAGAGTAAGGGTGGATCAGACTGTGAAACTGAAATCAACTGACGACAACGCTTTTCAAGGTGTACATTAACTGAGGTAAACGATTCGCTGATTGGACACAGGTGAACCAAAAAACTTAAGGGAAGCTCGATAGAAAGAACAATAACAAAGTCTACTACACAAAATCAATTCACTAAACAGATTCAGTGTTTGTCGTCACAATACAATTTCCAAGTTACTGAATATCACATCCCCCAGCTTGGGCTCTAGAACTAATTTCGTGGAGAGTAGCTGGACTTTATTTCTCTCCAGAGTTACCCTAATAAAAGGGACGACAGGCAGCGGTGTGTATAACTGTTTCCACCTGGTTCACTGCCTGTACATTAGGGTTTTCCCAATGGGTCATATTATTTGTGCAACAAACCACAGCTCAGTGTACCCAGCCTACTTGGAGTTTCTCGATGTAAGTTAAAACCAACGATTACTTGGATCCTACTTCAATGAGAAATAGCTGCAGGAACTTTTGCACAGAAGACAGACAGTGGCCCCTCTGGCCAGTTATTCACATAAGAATATAGTGTTATGGCCCTTGCAGGGGCTCCTGTCCAACTGACCTTGTGTGGGTGTGTCCTGCCATGTCTCCTGCCTTAGGTGCCACCTAAGCTGACTCTAATTAGCAATTAAGTGTACTTAAGACAAGCTCTAGTGCCACGTTAAGTGGCTTTATTGTCATTTTAACCACGAGCAGTCGTGCAGTACACAGTGAAATGAGACATCGGTCCTCCAAAACCATGGTGCTACATATAACAGGCTATCAACAAAGGACTACATAAAGTGTAAGTTTGCAAA